CGAGCTGCAGAACTAGCAGTCAGCTGAAGTGGCTGCAGTACTGCACCCTAACCACTGCGCCACCTTGGCTCTGCCCTTTAAAATACAGCTAGAGACCCTTTTGGATTCCTGTAGACTGTTGACAAACAGAATTCCTCAACTCTCGTCACTGTTAAAAAGACTATTTCTCATCAGACCTTTCCAGGATGGAGTTTCCAGAAAAGGTGGTGAATAAAAGGTAGAGCTGTGTTGATATGTACTGATCTTTAACAAAACACGGAGCCCAAATATCCATCCTGCTTCTATCTATTATCATTTATTGCAGATGGAAATTGGAAAGTAACCAATGGTTCCCCAATGGTTCCTTGGCATCTTAAAATGAACAGGACAAGTTTGGCTGTAGAACGATTGTTGCTTCTGCAAAGACAACTTCTTGCCTTGCTATTATTTGTTTTTGCTTTTAAATGTTTTGAGCACGTTAAGTAAGCATGTGGTTCAGAAGATTGAAAGCTCCTGTGGAAACGCTGCTTGCTCATGGGACAAAAGGATGGCGCTCCAAAGGTGTTTACAAGCAGCAGGCAGAAATAAACATAAAGGGTATCACACATTCTAATCGACACAAGTTTGAAATTGGAGGGGAGAGGTAGCCGGGCCGATTAAAAACTCCTGCCCTGCTGTCTTTTCCTACCAATGCAGCGTTCCCAATACGTATGTACAGGTAATCCTCAACTTACAACCATTCATTTAGTGACTGTTCAAAGTTACAACACTGAAAAAAAAGGATTGGTCCTTGCACTTGCAACCATAGCATCTCCACAGTCACGTGATCAAAATCCGGTCGCTTGGCAACCAGCCTGTATTTGCGATGCTTACAGCGTCCCCAGGGTGGGGATCACGTGATCATCATTTGGCACCTTCCCAGCCAGCTTTCAACAAGCAAAATCAAAGCTGGAAGCCAGATTAGCTTAATGACCACGATTCACTTAAAGACTGCAGTCATTTTTTTCCCCACCCTGGCAAAAAATGGTTGTAAAATGAAGCACGCCTCACTTAGAAACAAATTTTGGTCCCAACCGTGGTCGTAAATCAAAGACTACTTGCACAATGACTTGTGACTTCAGTTGATGGTAACCAAAGGCCTCTGCGTTGTTGTGGGCATT